TATGTTTAAATATCTTTTTATATATGTTTGGAATATTTATAAATAATATTTAGAAATATATTATATTAAATTTTAAAAACCGATTTATTTCCAATTTATCACCGATTAATCACCGCCGCACCGATTAATCGTGAGTCAGTGCCTGACCGACTCGGACCCGATTACCGATTTTTACAACCTTGTATGCTTCTGTATTAATTAATAGGGCGAGTGGCAAAAAGGCCCATCACATGTGACTTAAATGCATTTTGGTCCACAAAAAAAAACAGTCTTTGATCAATTAAACTCATCCCCTTGTCTTTAGTCTAAAATACCCTCCATAATATAATCCTTATCAATTTCACCCATTATGCTCTAACTCCCTTAATATTACACATTGGCCCCGGATTTAAACAAATATATCACATTAACCCCCAACATTTTTTTTCAGAAAATAAGTTTTTTAATGAATTGTTTTTTTTTTTTCCGGCCAGATTCCGGCGCTGACTTTTTTTTTTTTTTTTTTTTTGGAAACTTATTTTTTCTTGAAATTTTTTTCCGGCTGGTGAACCACCGTTGACCGCCGGTCTCCGTCGTTGACTTTTTTTTTTATTGAAATTTTTTTTTCTTAGAAAAAAAAATATTTGAATTAATATTACTGTCTTGGCTACTAAATTACTGTCTCAGATAGTAATATTACTGTTTCGGACAGTAATATTATGAATTTTATTTTCCTGAACAGTAATATTATTAATAGTATTGTCTAAGACAGTTAAATCACTGTTGGGGACAGTAATTTAGCACCCAATGCAGTAATATTAATTAAACTAATTTTTTTTAAGAAAAAAAATTTAAAAAAAAAAGTCAATTAACAATTAAAAAATTGTTGGAGACAGTAATTTAGCAACGAATACAGTAATATTAATTAAAAATTTTTAAGAATAAAAAAGTCAATTAACAGTTAAATTACTGTCTCCGACAGTTAAATAACTGCTGGAGACAGTAATTTATCAACGAATACAGTAAAATTAATTAAAAAAATAAATTTAAGAATAAAAAAGTCAATTAACAGTTAAATTACTGTCCCCGACAATTAAATAACTGCTTGAGACAGTAATTTAGCAACGAATACAGTAATATTAATTAAAATATTTTTGAAGCAAAAAAAACAGCCAATTAACAGTTAATTTACAATCTCCGACAGTTAAATACCTGTCGGAGACAGTAATTTAGCAGCCAAGACAGTAATATTAATTAAAAGATTTTTTTTAAGAAAAAACAAAATTATAAAAAAAAATAATAAAAAAAAAAATAAATGTAACGCCAGAGACCCGGCAGTTGACCGGCCGGAAAAAAATTTCAGGAAAAAAAAAAGTTTTTCAAAAAAAAAAAAAAAAAAAAAAAAGTCAACGCCGGAGACCGGCGGTCTCCGGTGGTGGTGGGTCAAAATTGAAATTAAGGTTAAAATTGGTTAATTGATGAAATTGTGCTAAATTATGGTGTAAATCATGAAATTGGAGTTGAATTGGGTTTCAATGAATTGGGGGTAATTTTGGTATATATAAAAGGATTTTCCTTATTTGCAAATAAGTTTGATTGAGCTGGATTTATTTGAAAGACAAAAAGTTGGATGTCCCTCTTTTAATTAAGTGCCTTGTCATAGGTTTATTTGCCATTTACCCTAATTAATAATTAGTATGTCTAAAACTATTGGATTAGCGTTAATTGTTTGAGTTTGGATGTTGTGTTAGATTGATAATTAGTGCACTTTAAATTGAAATGCACTTTTATATATATATATATATATATATATATATATATATAATCTATGAGCTAATTGGAGTTTTAATATTATGAAACATATTTCCTACTAAAATAGTAATTCATATTCATTCCCGAACCAAAATTGGACTTTAGGTCACAATCGTCTTAACATCATTTCTTTTATCAAAACCATACTATACCAAGCCCTAATAGTTCCCATGATGGTTTTAAAAGGTTGGGATGCTTACGGATAGCTAGTTGATCAGTTTTTGTTCATTATTATTATTTTTTATTTCTAATTTTTTAATTATTTTTATTTTTCTTACTAACTATTTTTTTTATTAATTATTTTTTTTAAATTTCTTGAATATGTTATTGTGAAAGAAGGGGGAAAACTTGAAAGGTAGTTTTGGCACTAATGCATCTTATCATATCACAATTATTTCATGGGACCTTCCAATGTTCAATTAGTTATTTCATAACAAGCTACGATGACATACAATTATTGGGTTAACCGTATCAAACCGGGGCTTTCGAGATTTCGTACTCTAAATTATTATATTTCAATTTCACATGTAAATAGTTACCTTGCTAATTTAGTAGTCAAGACAAGGTAAGGCACCTTGCTCATATGATCTATTTGGTCATCGGTTCGCAAAGTTACCTCATTATATAAAGGGTAAATGAGTAAAAAAGATAAAATAATTTCACCTAACTATCAATATATGATTATTTAAACGATAGTTATCAAAATTTAAATAAACATTTGTTTTTGGACACGTAGCGGCCAATGAGACCCTAACTGATATCAGGCAGAAACTAGCGATCGGACGCTAGCAAGAACTATGAAGTAAGTTGATGAAGTAAGTTGATAAAGTCACTTGCATGCATAAAGAAGCTAGTCCACATATCAACCTAATCATGTTTTTTTTTTGTTGTAGAGTTAGGCAGACTTCAACACCACTGTAACACATATACAACGCCGCACAGACAAGCACAGCTACTATTCACACACATACGTCGTGCTCCAAAAAAAAAAATAATAGTAAATAAATTTTGTTACTAAACACATACACACAACCAATGTAAGTATAATTACGTAACAGTGTTGATAAAACCGTACACCAATCCCACCAGCACACAAACACACTCACGCACCAATAAACACCAACACACACCACACGCGTACAATAAACACTCATATAATTTATCATGAATAATGGGGTTTGATTAAAAAACATATTCCATACGTATTTACCCTTGTAGATCTAATTAGTTTTTTTAATATAAATTACTTTTTTAGATGCATGTAAACTGTTGGGTGCTAAATACCAACACGCAAGTGCACGTATCGCAAACAAGTAGTAAAGTAGACTCGTGAGAGTCGGATGTTGATCCCACAGGGAATACGCAAATTATTTAATCCTAAGTACCAAATCTTAACAATTACGATTTTTATCCAGCCTACGCAGGGTTGTCAAATTAATTAACTAAATAAAATAAACTAATTAAGAAAGCAATTAAACACGAGAAAATATCAATATAAAACGGATCTAGGATTTTATCTTCCCCCTATGCGATAATTCTTCACCCAATTAATTTCCTATCATGCAAGTTACGATTCCCGATTATTAACCCAAGACACGAAATTACTCATAACCAGCTGTCGCTGCGTTATAAGCCTATTATTCATAAAAGATTCACTATATGTCTATGCAAACCTAGTATAAATAAAGCATTAAATAGCAAGTCTCGCAAACGGCTACCTAAGGTATTATCTGTATGTCTACGATAATACATGCAATTAACACACACATTCGGTGAAAAACTACTCGAAGGCTCTTCTATCCCTATTCTAATTATTAAAACGATCTGTCAATCAATTCTAACAATAACAAATAGCAACATAAGTTAGCTACGCTCATGCACTAAATACGATCAAGATAGAAGAAATAATCGAAGAATTAAACTTGCATAAAAGTAGAAAAATAGGTTCGAGTTACCACATAGGGTTCCAATAAAATCCTAGAATAAAAACTTAGCTACTCATGTTCGTTACGAAAAGCATAATAAAAATATGAAAATTCATAAAAATCAGAAAAGAAAAGGAAAAAGGAAAACTAGGATGAAGAGTCGTCAAGTCTTCGTCTTCGTTCTCTTGCTCCTTGATTGCGTGTAGAAAAGATAAAAAACTAAAAACTAATAATAACGATAAAAGGTAAAGGATAGATCTAATTGTGTGCTCTTGGCCTTTAAATAGGGTGCAAAAATATAATAGGGCGGGTTTCCTTGTGTAATTAAAATTCCTTCACTGCGCCTTCACGTCCACCCGGACGGCCGTGTGAGATTTTGAACTAAAATCCGCACGGCCGTGCGGTCTTTTAATTCTTCAGAAATCTGATTTTTTCACTTTTGGCCCACTTTTTCTCTGAATTTGCAGTTTTCACCCCAAAAGTTGCCAATTCTTCAATTTGCACCCACTACTAGAAAATCACGATTTAGTGATGGAACTATCCGTCACTAATTCATTTAATCCGTCGCCAAAATATAGTTATCGACGGATTTCGGCCGTCGCAAATGCCATCACCAAATCCGGCCTCGCTAAATTTAGAGACAAACAACAAAAATCCGTTGCTAACGCAGCTACGAACAAATCTGTCGCTAATGCATAATCAGACGTCGCTAAAACTTGACGAGTGATATTTGATTAGTGATGGCCATGTCCGTCGCTAATTGAAACTTTTACGTCGCCAGTGTTTGTAGCAAAATCCGTCGCTGCATCCGTCGAAAAAATGTATTTTCAAAATTTTGTGTATGTCACTAAATCCGTCGCTAAAACAATTTTAATTAAAAAAAAAATATTTTTAAATTTATAATTCCCTGTTCCAAAACCCAAAACCATTTCAATGCATTATATACTGGAATATTCACCTCCTTACAAAAAATAAGCACCACACTTTCTCCCATAATCCACCAATCAAATCAAGACAACAAACACATGATAAAAATGAAACACTATTCTTTCTACCATAATCAGCATCCAGTCAACAATAAGATAAAAAACACCGACCTAAAATCCATAAAATTAACCCAAACACAACTTCCGACTGAGCTAACATATCTAAATATCCACGTAATGATAATTCAAAACACAATCTTCAAGATTGTAAGGCTAAGCGCTACTACTCGTCTTCCAAACGATAAAAAATAGTCGTGATAAAAGAAAATAAAAAAAAATCTACCATATAAGTGCGATGCTACTGTCCATCTCTATTAGCTTCTCCACGTTGTCTTTCACGCATCTCTTGAATGGTTGTTTTCAAGGCTTGCAATTCCTCTTGAAAAGTAGCCTGCATATCGGTTAATTTTTGTTCCACCGCTCGATTAACAGCTTCTTCGAATGAAGGCGTTTCAAATACGCATTGAGAAGGTACAGATGATGCTGAAGAAGAACCGGTTGGAGCATGAAATGTAGGACCACCTCCTTGTACAACAGAACTGGACTCCGATCCGAGACCGTAAACTCTTCCTTTTATTGGCCCTCCAACTGCCTCGAGCCACGCTTTATCAATAACTTCTTTAGGAAGAGCGGATGCTATTGCCATGAATGCATCATCTTCATCTTCTTCTTCGTCTTCCTCTTGATTTTCGATTCTTGCGTCTTCATTTCCTTCGCCAACACCCTGTGTCCCAGACATGTCACTTGAATGACGACTCTTGACGATGGTTTGAAATTTAGCCTGAAACATCACAAATTTTAAGAATTAATACACATTGAATAAATATACATTTCTTTATTAAACTATATAATACATTATCAAATAAATGAAACTTGTCTAACAACGTGATCAATATTCAGAAGCAGTAACTGAAGACACAAAAAAGTATTAAAAAACAATCATAAAAAATTTCCTCCAGAACTCAATTCTTGCAGCATAACATTTTTATATTATAGTAAAGTAGATGCTTACCCAGACAGATTTTGATTTTCCATCAACCCAATCATTATTCTGTTTCGTTTTGTGAATCATCAAAAATAACTCAGAAGCAGTAGGCTCTACCCCTTTCTCTTTCACCTAAAAATAAAATAAAAAAACATATTTAATTGGTGTTGGTAAAATAAAATATAATTATAAAATATCAAAATTAACACTTACAAATTTTCTTTTATATTCTGAAACAGGAATTGATCCTCCTGTATGCAACGAGGGACCTAAACCATCATGACTTGAGTTTCTGTTATCAGAATTAATTTCCGATTTATCTTTAAACTTTTGGGTGTTCCAATAAGCCAACAACTCATTCCAATGATTCTGATTGATCCACTTCGGTATTATATTTTTCTCATGAAATTGTTTTCTCGCTTTGTTCAAACTATTGCTCAAACTTACACTTCCTTTATGTTCAAAATGTCTTCTTATTGTCGTGTGGTCTTCCGCGGGCCAATAGTACAACTTCTGCATGTATTCAATATAAATAACACATAAATAATTTTCAAATCATGACCGACAATGAATATTATATTATTTTTAAAGAAAATTCAAAGTAATGAGAAGCTCTGAAATGTAAGACATGTTTTGTGAAATATTAATTAGACAAACTAAAGTATTCAAGATTATACCACACTATAAATTACTATGTTGCACATATATATAATGTTATATTACTATGACAATTACCTTACATGCTATCATACTCAGCCTACTATCACTTCGAAAAGAAAATGCATATACAGTATGTTGAGGTACACTTAGAAAATTCACTCAAGAAAAGTGCATAAACATAAAATGCAGCTTCAACGCAACACCAGTAATTACTCAATAACTAGTTGTAGAATTTTTTCAATCTAAAGTGAACATACCTCAAATTCATTAAACCAACGGTCTCTAACATAATCCGGTACCTTCTTCCACGTAGGCCATGAACCACTGAATGCTCTTTTGAATATTGCAACCAATTTTCTCGTAGCACTTGAAGGATCAAAGCTGTTAAATAAATCAAAAAGATTTATGTTAACACAATATATATCTATTAAATAAAGTGATCAAAGTTTACCTATCTCTGTCGACTTTCAATAAAATTCGTCTGGTAGCAATTCTTTCTTGTGAGATAGTCGTTTGTGAATCCCCAACTTCTCCTTGTTGTGAAGAAGGTGTTTGTGATGAACTACCACGATGTATGCGCTTGAAACCTCCTCTCGCCATTTCGGTCAACTAACAAAGAAACAAACAAAGGGATATTAAAGTATTTATGCATATCAATTTATACAATGCCATTGAAAAATAAAACACTAAATTCAAAATTAAAAAATATGGATGCAAAAAATTAGATTGTATACAAGAACCACAAGATTATATTATATATAAACAAAGGAAATAGTTCTTCGAAAAATGCAATGAATGTAGCTTAAATAAAAAGTTATGGTATGTCTCTACATAAATGAATATAATAAAAGTATAAGGAAAAAAATAAATAAAAGTTGAATTATTCTTCTTCTGTGTCATCGTCATCTTCCAAATCTTCGTCTCCTTCAGATATGTCGCTTGGAGACTCAAAATTGGACTCATCGATGTCGTCCCTATCTATATCATGATCCACAATTATGTGTTCTTCACCCTCATCCCCAACATTGTGATAACCAAGTTCATCATTTATGATTGGTTCTACTGGCATTGTCATCTCATCTTCTTGAAAAGCTGTGTCGGGTAACTCAATTGTGCTTCTAGCATTTATTTTACATACAGCTCTCCAATCAGCTTTATCCCTTCTCTTAACAGGGTATTCAGCAAAGTATACTTGTTGGGCTTGAGAAGCCAAGATGAAAGGTTCATACTTCATGAATTTTCTTTTGAAATTAATATCAACTAAACCATATTGATTATGTACTCTCCAACCTCTACCACTAGTGGGATCAAACCAATCACACTTAAAAAGTACAACCATTGTTCTTCCAAGAGAAGGGTTAGAATAATCTAATTCAATAATATCAATCAATGTGCCATAGTAGTCACTTTCAAGCTCGGCATAACTTGTTCCTTTAATGCAAACACCACTATTCATGGTTGCTTTGTTTGAACCATATATTTTTGTGTGGAATTTATAACCATTTACGTTGTACTGCGGCCATGTATGAACTTCTCTAGAGGGACCAAAAGCTAAATCTTTCACTCGATTATCAGTGATTTCATTGCGACCATTCTTCAATTTGCACCTAAAATACAATTAATAACCATATTAAGCACCAATTATCGTAAAAACACATCAAAAGCTCCAA